GAGGCCAAACGATGCCGAATTCTCGCAGCAATGGAACAACTGATGAATCCAGATCATCACGTGTTGAAGTTGCCTCTCCCACCTCCCCTCGTTACAAAGCGCCTCCTTCCTGCGATAATTTCATCGCAGATGATGGTGTGGAAATGTCAGTGCCAGAACCAGAATCGGACTCCAGCCCAGGGGAAGTGCCATCGAACACCTTGAAACATCGCATTTGGCCTGACAGGTCGACTCAAACATTGTACAACTCGTGGTCAACACTCATTCCCACTCTCGTCGAAGCCCAACTCCAATACTCCGCGCGAACGCATGGCAAACCCTTAGAGAGAATCCAGAAAGTCGTCTCAGCGTGTAGGACTCTCAGGTGCGCATTAAAACGGACAGTCTTGTATGTTTGTTTTTAGACCGTAAGCACTGGAAAACATACCAGAGAAAATGTTCGTATTGACGGTTTATTAGGCTTTGAATTTATAGAAGCATTGAGTTGCCGTTGTTCTTCCCTTCCCCAAGTCCTTATCCACCAGGCTTGTTCCCAACAGCACCTTCGCAGCCTCGAATGGCAGTCTCCCTTGAATTACTATCCTTCTACCGGACGTTGTTTGAGCGTTCCTGCGACGCAATTAACGCGCTTACATACGCTCTCAAGACATATTACTCGCGTAGAGGCTTCCGATTGACAGACTCCAAGGTAAGTTAATTTAGTACACTATAAACAAATACTAACGATGCGTTTCTAAAGGGTGACGAAATACGAGAACCTTTTCGTCGCGGCCTTGGCCATGCGGTGCAATGGTACGACATTCTGCAAATTGAAGTTGAGCGCCAAATCGAAGACCTTCTCGAACGATGCCGGGATCAAGTTACACGGTTCGAAGATGCATCACCTATCGTCGATTCTCATTCCCATAGCACTTCCTCACCATCTTGCAACCCCGCCATCTCTCATGACATAGACCCACCATCCACCCCCTTCCCGTCGGTGCTACCCCAAGGCCGGTGTTTGTCAATTCTTGCGCAGCGATGTCCTGCGTGTTTTGGTGGAATATTCCACGGAAAACTGATTGAGGAAGGCGCTGACATACATGTTGCGACTGATGGAAAACTTCCATCAACCGGCATAGGCGCCTCAGCGGGTGATTGCCCACAATTTTTATAACCCTACTTACTTTCTCCCAAAAGGGTTTGTTGATGAGGTCGGCTGCCGAAATTGACGCCCAACGTAAACGATCTCCTAAGGCACGCAACCCCCTTGTACCGGATGAAGCTATCGACTTGTGTGAAGGTGCTTATGAAGCAGCTGATGGGAAGAAACAGAAAGCGGCCATGGACAGTTTTGATGATACAGGAGTTATGGCCCTCATTTGTCGCCATGACATTCCATTGTTTTTTCACTAACATAGATTCTCCCGGCGAACAGCAAAAATATTCCATCGCGCTTCTCCAACACTTGTTTTCGTTACTGCCTCCCCAGGCTACTGTTACTCTACTATACGACGTTGGGTGCGTTCTCGCGCGATCGCTTTCTAAGGTAAATATGATATTTATTTTGATATTTATTACTAAATCATATTAATAGCATGAGATACTTCCTGAAGATGTGACCAACCGTCTCCGTTTCGCTACCACAGCCATGCACGCCTACGGGCACGAGTGGGCGTGCAGTTGGTATATAATCCGAGGATGTGCGTTGGCCTCGGCTTGTCTGACGGAGAAGGTACAGAAAGACTGTGGTCGCGGTTTGTTCGGTTAATCGGTGTCGAAAGGTCGTCTTCGGTGTGTCGTCATTTCTTCATTTCTCTATGTATCTATTATTAAATTCATTCTAGCGCCAACGTCGGCTATGGCTGCTTGATCGTCAGGCAGCTGCAATCGGACAGGAGATGCGCATCGACCTTGGTGATTGGATCAAGCGTCGTCTAAGACGTGGTATCAAGGATCAAGGAGCGGTGGCACAAGAAACCCTCACTAAATGTCGAATCCCTATCGAAGAACTGCGGTCACAATGGCTCCATCAACAGAAATCACAACTGTCCATCCGCACTCGTAAGCATATTCATGTCTCACGTTGGTGCTCGTTAATTCCTTGTTCCAGATGCACCTGCTCGACTTAAAAAAGAGTTGGACATTGTCCTCTCTTTACAAACTGACCTCGACACCTCACACAAGGCACTCCAGGCCGCTAAATCCATTTTGGGCAAAGAGTCGGCATCTGACGACACAATACAAGCTCTTGAGAGTCTTACCAACGGACACGACCGCTTGATAACCAAGGTGGAAACACTCTACGTGTCGCTTAACATTCACGACAGGTTTCCTGAGCTCCAGGGCATCGATCTAGAGTTTGTTCGAATATTGCTGACAGCTCGCGACCTCAAGATGAACATACGCAAGCGGGCGATTGCCAGTTTCTTCGAATGGGACAAGCTCGATCGGGCAGTAGGCGGCGCTCAACAAGCCTTAGGTAATTGTTCACTCTTCGCGTTGTATTTGACATAACGGACTTCTCTCAGGAACCAAGCTTCACCAGCAGACGAGGAAGGCCATAGCCAAACGACAGCCCGCCCTTATGACCGCCATCAGAAAGTTCAATTCATATTGCGAGCAGTTGGAATCTCATTACGACATATCTTCCGGCATTCCGTTACCATCACCTCTTCCAACGAAGCTTGCAGACTTGCGCGCTGATCCCACACTAATGGAGGATGTGTGGATAACCCCTTCAGTTGGTGAGGTACCACGGTGGTTGGAGGATTCTGAGGTAAGGGATGGCATACGCGCGCTTCTCAAGCGTGATCACTGCCAAGAAGAACGGCTGCGACTTCGCACTGAGGCAGATAACTTGTGCCGTTTTTTCAGAGCAGAGTTGGCTGCACTCGAACTCGCTATTCGATCTTCGGGAAGTACGTATTAATTTATGGCATTTAAGTTATTTACTGATTGAGTCAAATCCACAGGCGATCATTTCACAGCTGCCCTGCAACAGCGCCAGAGCAACTTCCTTCAGACCCAATCACGCTGGACAAACCCGCTAGCATCTTCGGCACAGTTCACCGCGCAAGTGAACAAAGCACAACAAACTGTTCTTGGCATTTCTGGCGACTCTCGGCATCCTAGCATCGCCTCGATCCATACTACCACATTGGAATCTTCGGACTTAGAGGGTGATGATGATCGAACGTTTACTGATGAAGTACTGCATGTCGACTCGGACCAAGCCGCCCTCGCAGACCTACTGGAGGGTGATATGGGACCCTTAGATCATGACGACGCCAACGACACCACAAATTTTGGCCACAATGTTGACGTGAATTTTCTCCAACCAGATGGGTCTGAGGTAAAAGTCCCTTGCTTAAATTAAATCTAGCTGTGACCCATTCTGTTCTTACAGAATCTTCTAATCGATGACTACAATGTTCCAGCTCGCAAATCGAACATTGTTGTGCCTGGCACCTTTACGGCGCGAGTCCGACCTCCTTGTGACGGATTTCCCCATCAGATTTTTGAACCCAAAGACATTGCCATTCTCTGTTCCCCCGCAGCGTGTCTCAATGACATTTGCATAAACAGTTGCGCTGTGCTACTCTACTCCGAGCTCAAGGTTCCCAACGTCTCTTGCGCAATACTCTCCACTCATGACCTTCCACGTATCCGATACAATGCGCCTGATGAAGTCATCTGGCGTCAATGTTCATGGACGCAGTACTGGGAGAGAGACATATGGGTCCTTCCTATACATCGACCCTCCCACGTTGGACATTGGGTATTTTGTGCGATCTACCTGCCCTCTAAGGAGTTTCACCTCTTCGATAGCCTTGGGGATCAAAAACCTTGGAAACGCGACGTAAAGGTATGTTCTTGTTATCAACATCCGAATAACAAAATTAATTACAAGAAGGACATAATGAAATTGGTTGGTCGGCTCATTCTACTGGCACGCAAACATCACCATCACCTTCCTGTCGACCTCGAAGGGTGGGTGGCTCGACCACTCAATGTAAGTCTCTTCGCCCGATGAGTCAGACCGGTCTCATGTCATATAGATACAACCTCTTCAAACCAACAGCTATGACTGTGGCATCTGGGTTTTAGCTGCAATCGTTGCTGTGCTTCGTGGGCGGCATGTCACGGGAGTACGCGAGGCTGACATTGGTGATCTGCGTCATTATCTTAGCATGCTCGTACTTTCTCTACCATTGGATGTCCAACAAATGTCTTGAATATATATTATACCGGCCATCATACATATGGATTCTTGCCAGTAGCTAACCAATCCTCCTCTCGTCGGTAATCCAAGATCGCTCTCGCTACCCCCTGCAGGTAACAATTGGCCACGAGCTTATGTCTTGAGCATTCATGCAAGTTGGCGACACGAACACGAAGCCCGTCCCAGGCTGCAACCAACCCCTTCTCCGCCTCTCGAATCTCCATAAGAATCCTGGAAGTTTCTCCCGCCTTATACATGTCAGCGCGATGGGTGCGAGACTCCCTTTGGATGCGCAAGTACCGTCCATGCATCACATCGACAAGGTTCTCCGTGAATCGCGCTTCCTCTGGCGAGTCAGGTGGAACTGGATGATCATAAGGAGGGGGTTGGTCCCACTGTGAGAGATCAGATTCGTCAATTAAGTCGGAACCAGCACAGGATTGGTGAAAGAGGTAGGAGTCAGGAAGAGGAAGAGTCGCGAATTGAAGGAGGGAGGATGTCAGAGAGTCAGGCAGCTCGCTAATGGTTGTACGAGGTCCGCGTCGTCCACGGTGCTTGACGTAGGCACGGGCGTTCTGAGCTTTGCGAGTAATTTTACCTCTGTGGAAAACAGGTCAATCATGACGTCAATGCGCAGAATATTCACAGCTGGAATACTTGCCGTTCTGACTGACAATAAGATGCTTTGTGACACTTTGCAGCTGTCAACTTCGCCTCTAATGTCAAATACTTTGCTCTGCGGCCCATGGCGGGGACAGGTAGAACAATTGTGACAATGTTAGTACAAGTAAGACCAAAATTAGTGTTGAGTTCGCACTGCTATATTCCTTTTGTACACATCGAATGTAGTGCAGCCATTCAAACCTCATCGAACCCATAGTTCTCGTCCAAAAATTGGTACTAGTGGGATGGGGCGTGCTATTGGAATCTATGAGACCAGTTCAGACGGGATTGTGGGCAGCGAACACCTGCCAGTTTGTCTTTCCAACTTAGTATCATGTTTGTCCTTGACCTCATTGGCTTACACCTGTCTTTTTGGAGGCTGGAGGCTTGCTGAAGGCTTGCTGGAGGCTCTAGAAAACACTACTACAGCCAAAGTCTAGGCCACGGCAAGACCATCGGCACCTCCAAGCGGAGTATGAACACTGCTGTTCGTCACTGTTTCTCACACTTTTTCACTGTCTGCAACAGCACCAAGGCACCAAGGGCTATCCATATATTGATCTCAGCCAGTTCTTGCGATGTGCTAGCCTCCTCAAGGACTTCATCCAGCTTCAGCCGCACACTATCAACATCATGGTGGGCCCCGATATACTGCCCCCTCCATAACCGAGGGTGTCTCTACAATGGCCGGTCTGGCGTCAGATCAGCACGAGGTGAGACGCCGGTCCCCGTGCACTGACGGATTAATTATTCACACTAGAAACATAAAACTGAGGCCACTCGATTGGTGCGTAACTTTCGTCTGTTTGTTGACGCTGTTCTGGGGATTCCCCAGCTCTTCTGGCTTATTCTACTGCCCGTCTACGTACGCTAAGTTGTTTCTTTAATTTAATTTAATTTTGAACTCAGTACCAGTTATATGTCTAGCCTCATTGGTCCTCCGAGTCAAACTAATTTTAGGGGGTTTCAATTCCCCACTGCCTCCTGAGCCTCTGTCTCGCATCTTTATTCTATGTTCCTAATATTTCGCTAGATATCAAAATATCTTTGGCATTTTCTTCCGGACATCATGCGTCAAAGTGCGTTACTCGTGGAGGTTCAAATTTTGAATAAGTACCGTGCGTTTCCTACCTATTTTTCAGTGCTTACACCCTCATTTCTCCCTCTGAACATCTCTGTAGCCAACGCTGGTCTGCGCAGGCTCTGTTGCCTCTCGCAACATACCGAGAACACTTTGTTGACATTGTGTTCAATTTATACCCGTCAGTCTTTTTTTTGTACCGTTCATCGCCGGCTCAAACATCATATAAGGTCTTTTGTTGATTGAGTACCTATCGCTCGCGTTGTACTTTGCCGTAAGTTCTGCCCCTCGTTTATCCTTTGTATTTTCGATGCTGAGGCCTTCCTTGCAACTAGGGTACCCAGACCGCTTGCTCTTTAAATTTGTCTACATTCTGTACCCTGCGTGAGTTTGTTTCCCTTAGGATTATTTCCTGGCTCACATCAAATGCAAAGTCGCCATGACACAATTTAAGGCAGACCGCTTTGCTGCATCCGCAAATCAGGCATGTCTGCCTCCCATCTCCATGGACTCGTCGCTTGCTGTACCCCTCTCTAGCCTTGAATATGTCCATGAGCAATTGGGAGGAGGGCGCCGCCAATCATCACCTCCTGAGTTGACCCCCACAAGGCTCAGGAGTAGAATCAGAGCTACTTCACGGGATGCTGGTATTGTGAAGGAGGCATCTATTCGCCGAGCCCATCAGCAACCTTCAAGACACTCTCCTGCCCCCTCAGGACACTCTCTTCCCCTATCAGGAGCTGCGACTTCTAGCTTTTTTCTCGACGACGGTCCCACGAGCATCGACATGTCATCTCTGCCGATGCCACTTCCGTGCAGTCGTCAAGGTTCGCCCTATCTTGGCGAACCTATTCTGCGACTTCCTTCTCATCCAGCCAGCGACCGCGACACAGCATCACTCACCCTCTCTGCTCTGAATGAGCGGCATTCCTCTCCCTCAGGAGGTGATCGCAATTCGCAAGAACCTGCACAGATTCAAGACATGTTTTACGGTCATAGCATGAATGCGCAGCCCGCCTGGATAGGCCCAAATAAACCCCACCCCTTTGATTCCATGGCCAATGGTGTTGAAAATTTGCCATCCCACTCCCACAATCCGACCCTATGTGACGTGTCCCGACTCGTACCTCCCCTGTATGTAATACCTCCAACACCGTCCAAAGATGTCCATGATGGCATTGATCAGTCTGCTCCGAAAGCAGCCATTCCCCAGCTTGACCTCAGCTACTACCCTGATGATGGGTCTAGTCATTCGCGTTTCCCAGAAGAAAGCGTGTTTGATGATAACGCAAATTCGCAGAAACCATCCCTGATGGGACGGAGGTCGTTGGAGATGAACACACTTTTGGACGAAGGTTTTGCAGGGATTGAACATGCTTTCGATGATTTATCTCTGTCGACTACATATCCGCTTCAACAGCTCACTAATATGTTTCTCAAGAGTCGTGGGCGAACAGTTCATGGTATTAATTACTGGAACATATACGTGAATTACTTCAAGGAGAACATGGACAAAGAAGTGGTGCGTGTAATGGAGGATGACGTGAACGACGCCAAAGGCAAAGGAAAAGGAAAAGAGGTTTGTAGGCCAGATATGCAGGGCACGCCGAGTGAGTATTAAATATAGTTGATGATATTCATTTTATTCTGACTTTTTATACAGGCACGAGGCTGCGAACACGCTGCTATGAAAAATTCAAGGACACCTTCCCAGATGTGTACCAGGATATTCTCGACATGTTTGATGAAGCTGCTGTGCTAGGTGCTGCTACCCAAACCGTCTCTCAATGTGGACAATCGTTCCAGAGGCTCTGTAAAAAAGTGACAGGCATAGTAAGGTGTTTCATTTCGGACACGTTACTCGCTAAATTTTTTCAGTTAGATTCCTCGGCCGCCAGATTTGGTTTTGAGGCCGCTGTTGTGCTGTGTGGAAAAATAGTGAACCAAGATGCATCACTCGGTCATGTACACACCACACCCGGTGCTGGAGGGGTAAGGCGATTTACGTCATGACATTCATCAGGCGCTTACTCATTTAATAGTTTTTTGAGACACGATGTCGTGCCAACGACGACACAATCATCGCTCACATCAAAGCCCATGTATTGTAAGTGTTTGTTGTCAAATTATGGCCTTCGCTTTTTGATCTGGCTTGTTAGTAACGCTGCCTCGTTATCAGCAGTCGAAGCATCCTTCAATGTTGACGATGACAACCAGGGTATAGAATCATCATTGAGGGATGACACCTCGGACGTTCAAATTGTAGAAGGGCGAGAGGTTGCACTAAAGTGGTTGAAGCGCGAGCTCACCAGACAAGTTGGTATGCTTTCGTCTCTCTGTATCTTTGGCTGAGGTTCATGAAATCACATCAGAGTGCTGCGGCGGCAAATTCGCATCTGACAAAAACTTTCCTTGGAAGCTCATGCCGAACGCCCTCGCCGATGACCGGCTTCGCATCACTGGTTATCCTGCACACAAGTGCTTGTTACCGGGTGAATACCATAGCAATACGTCGAAGAGCAAGGCCATTGGAGGGCTGATGCACAAGGAGATCTCTGCACTTGTAGATGCCCTGAAGGCAGGAATAATGGTCGTCGTTAACGTACCCGCAAAGCTCCAGGGTATGTCTGACAGATGGGGCTTCGAATAATCTACTGATTATTTTTCAAGCCGCTCTCATTGCCTCCGAGGTGCCTGTTATCGTTGGCGAAGCGCCTCCGTCTGACTATCCGCACCCTGGTGCCCACCGCATGTTCGCAGATGGTCACTCGGACTTTAACGGACCGCCCCGGGCTAAGCCTACCACTGCAGCGACCAGGGTCAAGAAGACACAGATAGGTCACAATGCCAGACCGTCTTCTCACGATGAGGTCCCTTCCTCGCGCCCATTTGTCGTGGTCACAAAACCTCCACCACACCCAGCACCTCCTCCCTCGCGTCCATTTGTTATGGCCACCAAGCCTGTCATGCTTGACGTAATCTCCTTTTCGACCTCTGACTCTGAGGAGGCGCCACTAAAAAATGGTAAGGGCAAAAAGAGGAAGTTAAAATTGCCGGCAGCATCTCGAACAGCGAAGAGGCATGCACCATCTGCAGCAAATGATAAGAAAGGAGAGACGAGGGGTGGGCCATTATCGCCTCTGACTGTTAGATCTTCAAGTGATGAGCCGCTCGCACCGGCAGGTTAGTCTTTTCAATTAACCTCGGACTCACATATCTGACTATTTAAAAATAGCTCAACCTGCTAAGAGGCTCCGGGACGGCCCCGTCAATCGTTCTCACTACGTGGAGGGCCGCGCACCTCGGAAGTTGTACCACGAGGTTGACTCGGAAGGTGCTTATGATACCAACAAGAAGGATCCTGCTATCGAGCTTGCTGTAAACGCTCCTCCACGCCCCGTAATGGTTGCTCCAACTTCAGATGACCCATCCGTGCTCGCTCATACATCGCAGACAGAGCCTTTGAACACCGTGGCTGACCAGGTTGGTCCAGCCAGTCCACATACTGCAGAGCAGCAGTCACCCCGGCCTATGGCGTCTCAGAATCCTCTGCGGAGCGACCCTCGTGATCCTTTGGACTCGCACGAGCTTCTCCGTCTTCGCGACCACCCTCATCGTCATTACTCCCATGAAGTTCATCGACATCGTGACACTTATCCGCCGTTGTTGGACCATGATGATCTGCAGCCGCGGAATGTGACGTATAACCAAAGGGAGGCTCCAGGCCTCACGCCCCCGGAAGTTCATGATGCATATGGATCATATGTTTCTGGGTTTGCTCCGTGGAATGATGTTGACGACCGTCAGCGTTTCACTCCTTATTCCAACGATCCCTTACGCCCGTGGGGCTACCGTGATCGGTACGGTCAATGGAGGAGGTATCCAGACACGCAGCAGATGGTTCATGATGGTGAATTTGGCGACTACTCACGCGAAGCTCTGGCGCCACGAATGTATCCGTTCGAAGACCACCGTGCAACCCGTACTGATGACAATCGTGATGGCAACTCGATGATGCGTGAACGCTCTCCAAACGTCCAGCCTGGACCATCTTCATTTTGATTACCTTACCCAAGTTCCCTCACAGTGCCGCCGTTGTCAGCCCATCTGGACTTTTGACACATGAAATTCCTTGTCTTTATGGTGCCTCCGTTCTCGTTATTTCACGCTCTTGCTTGGACCATTATGTTCCCTTTCGACTATGTTGGTATGCGACATGTAACTTTCGAGTGATCGAGAAAATATACCATTATTCGTGTCCGATTTGGTGTGTGGGATATAATCTTTACATAAATATGTGCAAAAGGTGTAAACGAATACAAGATGACTCGATTATATGTAGTCAATTTGACATGTTCAACGAGGTCGCTCATGGCATGACGCTACCTTACATGGTATACAGAAGTGTTTCCAAAATTAGTGAGATGTTCTCAACCGTTTCAACGACTCCGCTTGACTACCAACCACTCCCATGATGCCGCCGCCACAACCAGTGAGTACAACTTCTTATCGCAAATGCCTCTATGCATCGGTCTCTACCTCCAATGCACTCCCTGAACCTCGGAACAAGAATGTCATGGATAGGCTCTTGGAGGAAGAATTCAAAGGTACAGTTATGTGGGAAGAAAAATCACTCCCCATAGATGCCGAGTCCATCATGGACACCCTTATCTTACAGTCCGATTTCGCTGTAACGTCTCTCACCAAAATCCACTATTTCAAGGCCGGGCCAGGAGGGAAGAGGGTTCAGAAAGGGCCTATCTTTCAACCTGCTGCCCGCCGTGGCGCAGCACAATGGCTGTTTGATGAGAGGAATGTCCAGCCGAGGACGTTGGTAGACTCCAGGAAGCAGAAGAAGCAAAAGGCGCAGATACAGAAGGGACAGGGACAAAAGGCAGGGAGGGCACGGACACAACCACGCGCACAGATGAGCATGTCGGCTGCGTTGACCGACACAGAATTGGAGGTGTCAGATTTGTCATTCACATCGCCTGAAACCGACAAGAGTTTCGGTGCTAAAGGATATGACGACAAGAACCCCAACAAGAAGCGGCTTCGGGCATCGGCGACGACAGAGGGCAAGTGGACCCTGCTGTTCAATGTCGTGCAAGCTGCCATGTACGCGATATACAAGGACACGTTCCCGAAACCTTCAGCTGCATTCCCCTTTCGTGCCATGGACATTATCAGTAGCCCGCCGAAGTGTATATGGTCCTCCCAATTCTGTAATACTCCCGTCCCGGACGACACCACCGCCCAGAAGCCAGATATCATTCTGGTAGATTGCAATCTACGCAACCTCTCATTGTGATGGTGCAACATAATCACATGCGTGGAGCACACAGATAGCGAACTCGACATATCCATACCTTTGTACTGTGGCAGCGGCACCAAAGGGTACCTGTTGATGCGAGAGCAACCCTGGCGCCGGTTCGTTTTGATTATCACCATCGCCAATAGGCAGCTTTGCCTTCACTACTTTGACCGCTCGGGTCTGATCATTTCACGCCCCGTCAACATCTATGATTATCCTGTGCATCTTCTTGAGGTTTTAAACACATTGACGCTCGTGCACACCAACAACCTCGGGTACGATCCCACAATGCACATGTGTGATCCTACCTGCAAGGGCTCGCACACCAATCTGAGGGAGCACGCAATAGGCTGGGTAGAGAGCTATGATCAAGCGATTCTATCAATCATGAGTGTGCTTTGGCGAAGCCAAGGTTTCTTTTCTCGTGGCACCATCTGTTATCGTGTTCAGACCTCGGATGGGACGGAGTACGCACTCAAAGACTGTTGGGTCGCGGAGGAGAAGAAATACCACGAGGTGACCGTTCTCAAGATGGTTGAAGGGATCCCAAATGTAGTCAAGCTCGTGGCCGATTGGGATGTCCTCTACGATGGGGAGTCGGACTGCACGTATCGCATTTGAGCTTCCCATGGTGTTTGTAGCTCTAGGTTCATTCGCAGATTCCACCGGCGCCTTCTGTTGACCCCCTGCAGAGAACCGCTTGTGCTCTACTCCTCGAAGCTTGAGCTGTTGAAAGCCTTCCATGACTTTGTCACAGGTGAGTCTCGAGTGTGTTGAAATTGAATCCTGAGACTGACCATCAGTATTTAGCTCATGCTTTAATGCTCGGAAAGCACGTCCTCCACGGAGACTTGAGCCCGAACAATTTTATCCTCCATGATGGACGAGGGTATTTTATTGACTTCGATCATGCTCGGATTCTTGCGGAGGGCACCGATAGCGTTCCTTCAGAGGGCATGGTAAGTGAAACTTAGAATTTTCACGGCATGGCACATGGCTGAGCGCATTGTTTGAAGGGTACTAGGCCCTATATGTCAATTCGTCTTCTCCGGGAGGGTATTGCAAAGAATAATGCAATGATCCAACATACAGCAAGTGATGACCTGGAGTCGTTGTTTCATATCTTCGTCGAATTTGCGACGACCTTCGACGGGCCACGCGGCTTAATGAGAGATGAGAACAGGAGGCCCTTGTGGGTTCATAAATTTGAGAGCGCAGACGACGACCCCTGGGTGGCAAAGCAGGCATATGTGCTTGCACCTCGCAAGGACACGTCGTTGATGGACAAAACGACTCCATTCTTCGCACCGTTCAGTCAAATTATACAGGATTGGCGTCATCTAATTCTAGCAGCAGCCAGCGACTCGAGCGACCCGAGCGACCACCCCATTGGCGTAACTCATGCAGTGCTTACGGCGCTCCTGGAAAAATGGACCTCTCAGCTCCCCCCAGATGCGCCCACAGAAATTATGGTGCCCGTGGCATCATCATCGAGATTGGGTCATCCTCCACCCGACGACGCCCAATCATCCGCGCGTCTTCGTCGGTCTACGCGCATCCAACAGCAACTGTGATAGCCCTCAAACCCTCCTTGTCCTTCCCACATCCAAATGAGAGTGCCATAACCTCTTCTCGCACGTCCTTTCTGTATATGTTTTGTTTTGCAACGAATTTTGGTATAATATAGTAGTACACCACGTGCCATATATTACATACCTTCCTGGTCCGAATATCAATGACGGAATGTTTGATACCTGTGGATCTGAGGGAGCCTCCTCTGGAGAGGTTAGTGATGTGCATGGCCCGGCTTCAAGCCGTGGGCCGGCCCAAGCCAGGCCTGATTAGGCCAAGCCAAGCCAGGCCAAACTCACGGCCTGAACATGGCCCAGGGCTCGGCTTTGGGTTTTGGAAAGCCCAAGCCTGCGGCTCGAGCCGCGGCTCTTTGTATGATCAATCATGATCGATCTGTCAGGTACGAATCCATTTGCGTTGCCACTCTTCTACGACTCTAATAGATGCTTAAATCAAGAACTCTCAGCCGATGTCAGGCATGTCACTCGTTTGTCTCGTTTTGGGTCGCACTCGCCCATAATCGACTAGGCCGAATCATCCTGCTCATTCTCGGATGGATCGGATTCCAACGAAGTGACAATTTTGATCGAGATAAAAGGTAAGTACTAGTAGTCTTCGCTCCAAATAATCTAATGGTTGGAATGGTCCATACAGACAGTGACGACGAGCCGCGTATAGTGCGTCCAGTGCGCAAAGTCAAACCGACTGCTGCGCTCCTGGAGCACTCTGAACAGGCTGCACTCCCCTCTCAAACCCTGGCTATCAATGCCTTCCGTGCTGCACAGGCCGCCAAACGTGTTGCCAATGACACCCAGCCCACTGTCCCACAACAAATACCAGCACCCAGCCTGCCCACTCCTGAAGCCACGCTTCCTGCCCCTGCACCTGCAAACAAAAGAGCTCGTCTTGAGGAGATCGAGGAAGATGAAGAATCCAGCGATAAGGAGCGTGAAAATGCGCGGGCGAATCCAAAACGTGAGTTTTCATCTGTCATTCACATTTCCGTTTCTCACCTGACACTATTAGCCAAACGAGCCCGTCGCCAGAAACCTGCTCAAGATCAAGAAGAGGTTGACGAGGATGGTGTTCTTGTGGACATCAACGTGCAGCCCATCACCGACGAATCTGGTCCCACACGTGAAGATAAGACTCGCGACATTGACGAGTTCTTTGGTAAACCATTCGAGCACACTGGTACCAATGGCACGGTGAAAAAACACCGCAAGTGCAAGGTCTGTCCGTACGTGTGTTCCATTTCCATGTATTTAATTTTATTAATGCTACATATCAACTACTAGGGACCACTGTATCATCGTAAACGAAACGTCGACACTGCGCCGTCACTCTGAAGCTAGATTTGCTGTAAGTTTTCATATTTTTGTTCAGGCGAACATATAAATTTAACATGAATCCACTGGCACATAGGGCAAATATCGGAAATGGGCAAAGGCCAACGCCTTCGTATCTAAATTGCCGGGTGACGTCGCAGCTGAGAAAAAGAAAGCAGCGCTGGCGCAGCAAGCGATCGATGCGCATATGACTGAGCGCAAGTTATCAGAGTGTGTTATTCCATACAGCGACCAGCTTTTTAGAAAAGCTGCAATTGAGTGGCTCGTTGCCACGGATCAGGTAAGTCTCTGAGTTGTTTGTATCATCTAGCTGCATACTAATGAAAATCAGCCCATACAGGCTCTCGAGCATCCAAAATTCAAGGACATGGTAGATGTGGCCTCGCGTGCTACTCGAGGCGTCAAAATTCCTGGTCGAAAAGCAACCCGCGCTGAGATCATCCGCATGTTCAAGAACCACATGACCACGCTCAAGAAGAAATTGAATGTACGTACCATCCTTTGCAGTTTCTATTCATTCCTGACAATATTCTAGAGTCAATCTGTCAGTGGCGCGATCAATGTTACATGTGACGCGTGGCAGGCTGACAACACAGATGGGTATTTTGCCGTCACCGGCCACTGGATCGAGGAGAACAATCCGATGCAGTGGGAACCCGGGAACGCGTTACTTGGCTTTACGAGGCTCAATAACGCACACAATGGCCAGCGTCTAGGTGGCACATTATTCAAGGTGCTCGATCGGATTGGTGTTGCACACAAGGTTTGCATAGTATTATCTCCTCGTGATTGCTACCTTGCTTATATTTCCACCTGCTAGATTGGCCATGTTACATGTGACAACGCCGCCAACAACAACACTGATGCTGGAAGAGTTCTCGCGATTGTACGAGGCGAAGTACAACAAGAAATTTCCATGGCGTGAACGCAAGATAAAGTAAGAAGTCTTCATGATTTTTTTGCTGCGTACTAACAATTTCAACAGCTGTCTAGCGCACATCATCAACCTTGGCACACAAAAGCTAATAAGTATGTATAGCCAAGCGCCCCACTACAATCCACATGATCCACATGGCCACGATCCGGATATGTCTCAGAAGGTTGAACGTGACAAGATTGGCCTTGTTCACAGCATCTGCATCAAAGAACGTTCCTCGGCCAAATGGAGAGAGTTGTACAGGACTATCAAGATGAAAGCAGGTGTGTCTTTGCCGACACAACTGCTGATTGACATGAAGGTTTGATGGTCTTCAACCTATGTTATGCTTAATTGTGCCGAACACAACAAGAAGGTGTGCATTTGATCTTGTTGTACCCTATTGTTCTCACTCTTACTTAGTATGTTGACACATTTGTGTATGAAATGGGCCGCCAAGAACCCAATCTAACCAAATGAGCGAAAATCGATTTTTTGCAATTGTCACCCACTGAATGGTCACGACTTGGTCATTTTGCAGACCTTCTTTCATATGCCGATGTTGCTCAACAAGCCTTCTCGTCGGATCGAAGTTCAACTCTCCATCTCGCAATTCCTGCGCTGGAGACACTTTACAAATCTTGGTCTTCGTGAGCAGAAAGGCCCAAGTATGCTCAGTTTGCTGATTCACTGAAGGCCACCACAACAAAAATAGATGAATACTACAAGAAGACTACAGATTGCCCAGCCTACATTATCGCTATGTGTTCGTTCTCTTCTGTTTAAGCTAGCTGAGTTTGATGGTGTGCTGTTGTAGTACTTGATCTGACGTCAAAACTGACATACTTCAAAAAGCACTGGCCATCCCACTTGCTCAATGATGTGCTTGCTTGTGCTGAGAATGTGTTCAAAGCACACTTTTACAAGTTTAATCAAACTCCGCCGTCGTCGCAGCCTACAACCACGAAAAGCAAGGCCGCTGGCCTCAAAAAACTTATTCAAGAGGTTCAAAGTGACTCTGATAATGATTCTGAGGCAGACCCAGGTGCCACGTCCATTGGCGACCCAGCGACACCATGGAGTGCCGAGTTCGTGAGCTATATTGAAACTATCAAGGCAGCTCCCTCAGCAGGTATGAGTACTATCCAGTGGTGGGGTGTAAGTGACTTTCTTTTCCTCTGACTCGAGGCTGATCACTGTGTCCATTTAGATTAATGCCTTGAGGTATCCTGTGTGGGCTTTGCTGGCAAGAGACTTTCTATCCATTATGGTAGCATCTGTCTCGAGTGAGTGAGCTTTCTCGCAAGGAGGGATCATGATCAGCAAGTGGCGTAATCAGCTGAAAGGAGATATTGTTGAGGCTCTACAATGTGTTAAGTGCTCCCTTCGTCATGAACTTATATTCTGCGAGGCCAGTCCTTCATCTCTTGTGGAGGAAGAAGCTGATGATTCTGAAAATGAGGCTGAGGCTGGTGAGCACGAAGTATCCAAAGACAAACCAGCAGATGACGAGGGGTGGGATGTGCTGATCTTGGAGGATGATGATGACAACAACATATCAGAGTTTGATTCATTGGGTGACGAATAAGCACTGTACAACTGTTGATATATTATAGACCATTTTTCAAGATATTTCAATGTTCAAAGCCGTGAACAAGCCCAAGCCAAGCTGCGGCTTAGGCCTGGCTTTCGCTCGTGGCCCGGCCCGAGGTTTTTCAAAGCCCAAGCCTCCCCAAGCCAGGCCTGAGCTGCGGCTTTCAGGCCGAGCCAGGCCCGCACAACACTACTTCTACAATTTGCATGGCTACAATATCAAGGTCTCCTCGGTATACTGATGAATGGATGACACTGAATGTGTTGTGTACATTGTCGTATTGAGATTCGAGAAAGCTCCTTCCAATCATGAAGCGGGCGGCAGGCGTTGTTCACGATGATGAGGAAGAGGTATGCGGGGTAAGCTTAGTCACATTAAGTTCCCAATTCGGACTTGAACTCCACTCAAATATAGCTGGGCCCCCAGACAGGACCCAGACAAGTCTATCATAGACTGGACCTAGAGTTTCCATAAGCCCTACTTTCACTTAGATCCTTGGTCAGCCAGAGGCTGCAAATGAGTGAAAAGAAATGAACAGAATGAAACTGACCCTTACACCACTACAACATATCAGGTGGATGCAGCCTCGTTATACAATCCGACTGCTGATTCTGTAGTTGCAACTGATTTATTTCAGCCCACAGTACATCCATTGCAGGTTCATAGAAGGCTTTGATTCACATGCGCGAAAATGTCCACGAGGACCTCAGAAACAGGTAGAGCAATGAATTGGTCTATGTGTTCTGTTTTCTTTTGTGCCGAGAGAAGAAACAATTAAATTAATTTTTCGAGTATCGAAAGTGAGAGTTGCATGTAAGTATTTGGGTAAAACCCTGCAGGGGTTTTTGGCTAGAAACATCACTCCGAAACTAAGGGTTTAAGATGAGCCGTGAGGGCGGGTGGGTCTCAGCAGCTCTAACTCAGGAATTCTTAGTGTTCAAGAGTGATGCGTCGAGCAAATTGATGTAGAATTGTGATTTTATTCTTAACCTATGTACTTTGTCCTCGTTTAGTTATATTCATGTTTATTGTGAGACGCATGCCGCTGAGGGTGTCGGAAATCTCAGAAATTGATTTCAACTGATTAGGATGCTTTGTAATAGTCCAAATGTAACACGTGATTGGCAAGCCATTGCAATAGAAGCCACAGTTTGGAATGAACATTTTA